AGCCGCGAGGCCTTGGAATCTGAGGACCCGGAGGGCGGCCTGTAATGCGCCGTCCGAGAACGGGCAGTACCAGCACCCTCTCTCGGCTTTCCGGTCTCCGTCGCCTTTGGCCGCCGAGAAAAACTGCCCGGTGACGGAGATGATGAAGAGGAGATCAGATGGTTCGGAGAAGCGGGAACGCCGGAAATTCTCGATCTCGCTGTCGCGCGAGGAGATTGAACATGACTTTTGGGTTATGAAGGGGACGAAGCCCCCTCGGAGGCCAAAGAAGAGGCCTAGAATCGTCCAGCGACAGCTCGATGTAAGACATATGCAAAAAGATTTTTTTTTTTTAATGGTTTTGGTTCGATTTCGTGCTTTTGGCTATCGTTCAAACTCTTCTTTGATTTCTGTCGCTAATTTGTGCTTTCTTTATGCTGTTTCTTTTGGTAATTCTTTATGCAGTCGCTTTTCCCTGGTTTATGGTTATCGGAGGTGACTCCAGAAACGTACAAAGTTGATGATTAAGGTAGTTCTTTTTGGTATACTCATACGAAAAAGTACATTTTTACCTAATTTATTGAATTACTTTTCAAATTTGAACTCATTGAATTGTTCTTAGTCATGGTTATCGTTGTCGTTGCTGCAGAAGTTTAGGAGTTTGCAGAGGAAGGGAGCATTAATGGTGTTTAGATGCTGATTATTGCTGTAATCCTGTAACGTGGTTAGTTTAATTTCCTAGAATTTCCTATTCATCTGTAAAATGAAGTTTGAATATAAGTAATAAAAGTTTGTGTTATCTCTTCTTCGTGTGGTTGTTCAGTTTTTTTTTTTTTTCTACTGTTTCATTCCCATTTAGATCTAAGAAGAGTTTCATTCCCATAAAGCCTTGATAGAGAAGTTGAGGTTTGTAGATATTGTCTATTGCATTTTCTTTGCTGATGAAGTTGTGTGTTTTTATTTCCAAAATGAAATCAAATTATAATGATTTTATTCTGGAAGGATTCTTTTTCCAGAGGTAAAATTGTCCAAGTTGATTTGAAGATTTTGTGGACTCTGGCAAGAGCTACGAAGAGAAGCTAAAGAGGTCGTGAAGCTAATTGCTTCTAATGTCGATGTCTCTTCTCATAAATTTGTAGTGTATAAACCAAAGAAATACATAATTTGTCTTCTCTGCCTTTAGATGTCATCGATCATTCTTTCATGTTCAAGAAAAACTTAAAGGTCAACTTTGAGATCTCTCAAACACCTGTGGGCCCATTGTAATGTGTCAACCTAGAATGCTTAGAGCAGCTTCTCAAATATCTTGTGCTTCTATGCACATATAATTCTTGAAGGAAACTCAGTCAAAAATTAGATGTGCATGATCGTGACCTTTCGATCTTTGGGCTGGGGACTAAAGTATGATTCTGGCATTAACACTATAGGGCGCTTTAGAGTCTCATGGATTCTTTTTTTTCTGTTTTTCTGAAGAGCTGATTCTGCTCTGGATAAATGCAAAAGTAGATAAATGGGTAAAAGATTTGTGATCAACAGCATGGTTTCATCATGCAGGGGATGCTGATACTACCTTCAGATGCTACTCCTGGTATATGTTTTGTAATTTATTAGTGTGTAACCATGCAAATGTGCTAATGACATGGAAGGATGTTTGAATATACAAATCTGGTTAGAAAGAATGCAACCGTGCAAAAGTTCTACTGATACATCTTATCTTTGTTATTTTTTCTTGCTTCAAACTTTTGATGTTTCCAAAAAGACATGCATCTTTGTTTAGCTAGCAGAGAAACTTGAATAAAAACTGAAACCGAGTATCCATCAGTAATATGACCAAGAGAGCTGAAATACTTCAAACTTCATGCATGTGCATATAGCATTGTTTCAGGTCACCTCATATTACTCTTGTAGTTTCAGTATATTGATGCAAGCTTAGTGTCTTTTCGACAATCACACTGCTTTATATAGGTCTTTATTTGCCACATTACTTGTTCCACATTACATTATTATATTATGAATTTTCTATATGAATTGATGAGATGGAGTGCTGTTCGTGGTTTCTAGATAATGAATTGATCTCCGTCCTTTTGGAAAATTTCATGTAGCAAGCCTGGCTTCTCTTCCAGTCAATAGCAGGTGGCATTGTTGCTTTGAGGCTAGATACTGTGATGAAACTATGTGCTTTACAAGAAATCAGTAGACATAGGTCTTGTGATTAATTAGGCTATGACAATATGATGCTAATTTGATCTGTTAGAGAATCCCCTACAAGTAACAAGGCAAGTTTCTATGTCAGATTTTAAAGCTCTGTTATTTTTTTTTGGAGTTCTGAGTAATTAGCATAATAAATTTAATTATATAACAGTTTGTAGTTTTTCATCCTTCTCTTTGGTTATGTAACAGTTTTAAATGATTTAATGGGGCCTTTGAGTATTTTGGTGTTACTCTGAGGATGTTAATTAAGTGTGATGCCTTTAGACAAGTTATATTTTGCAGTTTCCTGTGCCTATCCGAACCATCTAATAGATTGACTACACAAGCTTGGTTTTATTTTACTGTCTAGTGTCTACAGATCCTTTACAACTGCACTCGTGTAAAACTGTCACATGGTAGGAATGAAATAGCATGAGAAATCATGGTATTTGTTATCATTGACCATCATAAACAGCAACTGTTGTTCTTCTTATGTACAGAAATAAGGGGTAGTGACCACAACATAAATGTTGGGGTGTAATTGCTGTATCCTCTGAAGGAATGGCGGGTTAAAGCGAATCCTTCACTCACCCTTAGCATTATTAAAATAGTGAAGAGAGAAGAGAATTTACATGCAGAGCAAGAAAGAGAGCCACAACAAACCAAATCAAGGAAAGAAACTACAGAAAGCATCAGATGGAGAGGAAGAGAAATGAAGAGAGGCCTTCCCAAGCCATATTTAATGTGTCCTTTGAGATTAGGCTATGTTAAACACCATCGAGTTCTTGTGATTTGTATGTTGGTAATTGGTTTGTTTAAAAGCATATGATTAGCGGTTTATGATTATAGATATATTTGGTTTTTTTCCTAAAAATTTAAGTTGTTCATATTATTGTTTATCCAATTCAAATTTTTATCTATTTATTTTGTCTGGCTTTAATCGGTATTTGTTTAATATCATTTCCTTAATTGATTAATTTGACCTGTACGTGAGAAGTGATTATTAAGTCCTTTTTTTCTAAATTTAAGAATGTGAGGTTTGTTTGTTACCCAATTGAATTATCTATTGAAGGAGAGAGATAAGAGTACCATTTTGATGACTATGTGCTAATATTTAATTGCATTGATGACTACCATCCAACACTATATAACACTTGTTGGGCAGAGATATATGGTAGATGAGTGATTTCATTTTTGAATTTCTCATTTCACCCCCAACAACATGTCCATCAAGCAAAATTCAAAATTTTCCATTACTCTTTCTATTTTAGTATTTCCCTTTTTTTTTTTACTATTTCATTCTTTCTTTTTTTACCTTTCAATTTTAACTCTTTTTTGTTTGGTCTAGTTTTTTTTTTAATGAGAATATGGTGATTCTCAAATCGACATGGAAAAATTGATTTGACCTAACTTATTTTTCGATTTAGAAGAAAGAAATATGTTTATATTGAGAGGATATTATGTGATAATCATGGGTAGATCGGAGTGAATATCTCTTAGTTTGTAAAAGCGCTCGTATTTTATATTTTATTTTAGTTCAAATATCAAAAAATACATCCTACAAGAACCTCTTCAATTAAATAAATTTGAATTTGTTACTGATGAAAAAAAAAAAACTTGTAAGAAGTTTAAGTGTTTACGTAAGTTTTAGTAAATTAAAAAGTACAGCTTTATATAATTTTATAAATGACATCGATTATAAAATATTAAACTGTTTGATAAGAGAATATCCCCTTTAAATGTCATGCGGATGTGGCATATCTAGTTAATGCTTCGTCATCTTCGATATCTAAGATGGTGTGTTAGTTGACATTTTATTTTATCATGGTTGGGTTGATCGAGTTTCATTTGTGAGAATGAGATAAGGACTTATTCGTTCTAAAGCATAATGTATATATATGAGATCTCGATAATTATTAGCTACATAAATGATTACTTAAGTGGTGTCTCGTATATCTTTTTTATTCTGAGCAAACACATCGAAGGGCGTAAGAAAATAGGTGATGGACATATTGAGTACATTTTTTTTCTTCTTTTTTTTGTCTTGGGCAAATTAGTTGTATGCAAAAGGATCCTTCGAGTGGGTTAGATGTTTTGAATATTTATTATCGTAGGTGAACACATCAAGAACAAGATTGGTATATTAGGTGTATCAAGCACCTTAAAAATTTTTAAAGTAAGCAAATATGTTCAAGAAGGACAAATCGAACATATTAGACGCTTCACATGTTCTTTTATCTTGATCACACATATTATATGTTGAAGGGACGCTTTGGGTATATTAAACACTTTAATGTTTATACATTAGTTGAACGTATCAAATGCAAGTAAAACGATTTGATCGAGATCATGCCATAGACAAATGCAAGTATACAATGGCCTCTCATTACATGCCATAGACATCATGATCGAGAGATCGACCAAAAGTAGGTAGATCTCTTTATATATATATATATATATGATGGTTGCATGCAACCAAAATAACTTGTTTTCACTACTTAAACGCCGTTGACGGAGCATGAAATAGTACGTATACCCGCAATAATAGTGATTACCTCGTCACCTTTCCACCGATTGTTAGCTGAGTTGCAGTCCAAAGAAAGCACATAATGCAGTAGTAGCCAAAGTCAATGGCAAACGTACCCAAACCTCCGCAAAACCACATGGCGAACTTTACCCAACCAATGTAGAACTAAAAATGAGCAAACGAAGAGAGCGATGAGACCTACCAAAAAGGCAGAAGAAAAGGGACAGCTGATCCCCATGAAAAAGTAGCTCCTATCATTACTACAAGCAAACTCATAATTCCCAACCAGCCAGCCCACGCCACACTATGGATAACAAGTCACGGCTGAGCTCTTGGCCATGGCCTTGTCCCCTCGCTTGCAGAGGAGGAAGCCGAAGATGCTCAGGCTGCTCGGCGTCGGCACGTTCAGGATCGGACTTATTCTCACCGCATTGCCTTGCGATCCCCGCGAATTCCCCGAACAATAGTAGTACGTCCTCGTCCTCGACTCGGTCCATGGGATGACGCCGGCGGTCGTGTTGATGGTGGGCATGTTGCAGTACCGCTCGGCGCTTGACACGGAGGACTTGCTCCGCAGCAGTGGAAGCGGGCAAAGGTTGCTCCTGCGGAACCGCCAGAAGGACCTGCCCCGGGATGGCCCTCTGATGCCGGCGTCGTCCTCGTCCGAGCTCGCCATGATCTCTCGAAGACTGCTGCGCTTCCTCCCCGCCTCCGCCGCTGATGCTGACGAGGAGGAGGGAGGATTCCTGATGGGTACGGGGAGGAGTTTGCCGTGGGAGAAGAGGACGTCGGCGAGGGAAGAATCGTGGGAGAGAATGGCGCCGGCGTCGAGGCCGAAGTCGAAGTCGGAGGATACGGGCATGACCAGGGGAAGGGAAGCGTCGACCCCGCGATCGCCGCCTTCGGTGGAGTCCGAGATGCCGGCCTGGGGGGGTTCGTAGGAGAAGGAGATTCTTGGGCTCACCCCCGCCCATGCCGAGCTCTCCAAGCCGTCCTCCATCGCGCCACGCGACTCTACCCTGACGAAGAAGAAGCTAAAGAGAAGCGCATGGCATGAGGGGGTAAAGAGAGCCACATAAAGAGGGAATAATAACGGGGGGAAGTTAACGGAAAGGAGGTCCAAACGGGTAGACTCGGTCCGGTTCGAACCGGAATCAAATTAGAACCGAACTTGGCTAGTTCGATTTCAAAACCGACCTTTGGATGATTCGATTTTGAAATTGGTCTTGGACGAACTCGATTTCGACGCAAACCGTTCCTCTGGAGATTCATCCTATGGGCTTCGAATGAACTGAGGCTCAAGGGATGATTGAACCAAGATAGAGAAACAAAAATAAGAGATCATCCGAGAAGACAACAAATACTTATTCGATGTATCGATCGAATGAACGATCGAGATATCTAGCACCGATAATGTATGATAATTTTATCAATTTTAGATCATTTTTTATGTCATTAAACTCATTATATGTATTGTAATACATCTAATTTTCAAAGTGACATTAAGAAATAAAATTATTATTTTTAAATTATTTTTAATAAAACTTAAAAGAAAAATAAATCGTGGGAATCAAAATCAAAATCACTAGAATCTAAAGTCGATGTTATTCAATTATGATTTTTAAAAATTAGGAAATAAAATCGTGAGCTCTGAATAAGAAGGTACAAAGGGGCAGATAAAATGAATAAACAGAGACGATTGATGGAGATCATTTGGGCATGCTTAGGAAACAAGTTTTATGTCGATACGACAATGAGCCATTGAGGAAGGAAATGTTCGTATACATATATTTGTGTGTCAGCTATTATATATGTAACATGAATACAAATCTGATTCATTATGGGTTAAACAAATGCTCAATTGTAGGATGATTATAGTGAACTTGTGCCACATATTAATGTGATCAAATGAAGTCAAGTAACATGAAAATACACTCATATTCTTGCAATTTTCTTCCTAGAGTTAGCAGAAGATATCAATATGGATTAATAAGAAATGATGATGTTATGATTTTGTTCCTTGAGACACTATAACATTGGAGTGCAATTTTCTATGACACTAACACAAGTACGAGAGCATCACAGTCTTTAAATACGTGGGATTGTGTAGCCAAGAAATTAGTACATCGATCCCCCCAACAACTCCCAAAGAAAGTCCTCTCTCTGTTGAATAATTCAAATCCATGTGAAATATTAATTAGGATATATATATTTTTTATAAATAATGTGATATCGATATGGATAATCATGTATTAATTGTTCGTTTGTCTTGAGTTTAGCAATATAGATAAGTGTGATGTAATTATGGTAATTAGATGTAACATTTATAATGTATCATCGGAGATTGACTCAAAATATCTTTCATAATGATTGAGAATTTTTTTTTTCTTGATAGGGATATGATGGCATGTGAAAAAACTGTCGACACTTCATCATCATCATCATGTGACCGACACCTTTGACGCTAACGAACAATACATCATCGCCCCTCAAATAATAAAGTGATCGATTTGACGCCTTATAGAGACTAATACATGGGATCTAACATAGTGAATTGTTACCTCATGTTCCCTAGATTTGACATTACATCGTATTTGTGACTAGAGAAAATGCACAACTACTTGGGACATTTAATCATGGCCTCAAGTGTGATGAGTCAAATCGTACTATAAAAAGATTCCTTATGTGTATTCTTTAGGACTTCAAACTTTATCCATACACCCACTTTCATAGATTTAACTGAATTCTTTGAACGTAAACTAACTTAAGTATCATAAAGTCTTTGTTGGAAATACATTCGTCGTAATACTAAATGGTTCGGACTAAAGCTCTCTTCGTCCTATATCATTTCACTCTGAAACAAATACAAAGTAGGACCTCGATTAACTCTGAATCCACATCAATATCAAATAACCAGATATTGATGTAAGAAAGACGACTTCTCGGTGGTGGAGGAGGTTCCTCCGTGGGGTTCACTAATGGCGGGCCGGCTTCGTTTCATGTCCTCAGGCTCACTAATGGCGGAACTCAAATCTCTGGCTCACTAATGGCGGAACTCAAATCTCTGGCCTGTCTCTGACACCGCAAACGATCAAGTGAGCTTTGAGTAAGGCCAGCCCATTATGGCTTGGGCCCAACCCAGCTTTGAAATATACCTGAGCACAGTGGTACTGATCTCCATCGCTCCATTCTGATAGAAACAGACGCTCTCTCTCTCTCTCTCTCATCTGCACACGACTTCTTCCATGCATTAATCTGGTGAAGGGAGATGATTCTGAGGGCTCTCATTGCTAATGCTATCTATATGATCGATTCGAATAGTAAGAATGATGCCAAATTCTCTAAAGGATGTGACCTTTCTCCTCGATTGTAAAGGAAAATTTTCAGTCTGAGGGACTTGGAAGTAGGAAAGAGCGTTAAACTGGAGAAGACGACATCCATGAGAGATTGATTATATTGAAAACGACTGAAGTCAAGTCCGCTTTTTCTTTGGGTTGCTCTCTCACAGTCTTATCTTGGCAGATCCATAAGAAGAGAAGAGATGAGATGGCACTTTAATCTAATCTCATCTCATGATTTCCTTATTAGTTTAGGATTCAACCTCGTGAGTTCTCAACGTGACTAAACTAAATAACACCGACAAAATAGTGCATCCTCCTAAAGTCTTATCACCGGTGCTGTTGTACAGTCGATTGGAATTGATGCTGCAGAAAAAGAATAATCATCAGAGTATACTTTTTCCCTTTATCCAGTTAGTATGACAAGAACACATGGATGGATAGCATACAAGTTGCACAGCAGACACTGTTCCAACATATGAATGGATGTAGAGATAGAGAGAGAGAGAGAGAGGAGCAAAATATTTGCTGAATCGAACGGTTCACAGTTCCTCTTCCAGCCGCAGCTATGTACCCTCCGCCTACAAAGATTGGCTCCACGTTGATGATCTTTACCGGTCAGAGGACAAAAGGTTGCAGGTCTTCCGGCTGTTAGGGGATCAGAGGCCTGCAACCGAAGGAAATCTCTGACGGCAGCAGGTGTTGCTCCATCGGTGGAGGTGTAATCCTGCTACAGTGGGGTTTATTCTGTGTTGGCAGTGAGTGGATACACATCCAGGAAGGATGTGGCCCGTCCCGGGAGATCAGTCCCTTCACGGGTCTATCTGACAGTGAAAGCTTGATGTGATCGGAGGCTGGCATGTGCATGCACGGAGTACATGCTTGTGAAGCCTTCCTCTCCTGAAAACATGGCTTTGCGGGGAAGCACTCGAGACCTGCCCTCCTCCCCTGCTGTAGTTTTCTCGCACCATCACATTTCTTCTTCGAGTGGCATAGCTTACAGTGCTTAGCAGCAAAAAGGATTTGTGCAATTATTGACGAGGCTGTCATGAAATAACAAAAAATAATAATGTTTTGGTAGCGATAAGCTGCTGCTATATACCGACTCCAAATTTTCTTATATATATATATATATATACTTTTTTTTAGTGGTATTCGCTTAGAAGCAACCTTCACTTGGAAACCGATGTTTCGGATCCTGAATTTTAGGTATCGAAACAAAACCACAAAGGGTCGGTCGGTTTTGAAATCGAATTCAAATCGTTAATTTTAGGTAATTGGCTCTTTATAACCACAAACGAAGTGGCCATCCTTTTCCCTTAGTTTATTTTTTCACCACCAAAGTGTGGCTTGTGTAATTGCTTTGGAGCACCGCATCTGTTGTTTGCCACCCACCCGTTTCTTCAGATGATCATATTCCCCATCTTTTATCGATTCTGATTTCTCTTATGTTATCTATTATATAATCATTGCTCGTCTTACTTTGTGATGTGGAACACATTCAGATTAAGATACTTGCAAGTAAACATCTTACAGTCGAGGAGGAATTGGGTTGCATCGATGCCTTCCGACTAATTAAGTTTCATGCAAGCAAACAAACAAAGCTTTCTTTCTCGGAGAACATGTGGAATCAGCACAGAGATAATGGGCGTGATGTGTGCAGCATATGCTCCGAAGCGAAGAAGAGATGTGATCCATCACTTTGATGTAATGTTTGCCATCACCAAGTCCGGAATCATCCCTCTCGCGCCACTGCTCATCGGTCTCAACTTGTGTCATGCTTGGTGATGTCGAGGTGACTTGTGTGGGTGCAACATGCAAGTGGATGAACATTTACAGGGCATTAACCTCCAACAATAATTGAGTTGCATGCATCAAAACCCTAGTTAGAAATCACATCCATTGATCCCTTTCTGTTGCCGAAGAGCTGATCTTAAGCTTCCTAAAAGGACCGGACAGCTCCCATTGGAGTCCGAGAAACAATGTTGCGGACTTCATCTGGCGAGCATATACACTTTACTGAGAGTTGTGACCACCGAGAGGAACCTCAGGTGCTGCTCCACTCATGTAGCTTTTTAGCATGTCATATAACTCATCCATGCTCCACAAGCCATCGCCAACATTTCTGCTGCAATCGTCGTTGGATACGGTGCAATCGACGGCTGGATAAGTAGGCGCCGATGCCGGCGACATCGGCGATAGGTCCCAGCTGGTGTCTAGGTCGTAGGCGTCGCTCGTGGAGTAGCCAGTGGCGAAAGGGTTGAAGGTGACGGCATCGAGCTCGTCGGGTGGCCTCGATGGGAGCTCGGACATGTGATCTGTGAGCTGAGGCAGCGCGGTGGAGCAGGACGATGAGGCGAGTGAGTCCCGGTAATGAGCTTGCTGGGTTCCGGTGTTGGCGCTGGCATCTTGAGATTGCGTGGTGTGAGAAGAGTCCATGTTGGCAAGCAACCTCGGCATCCAGTAGCAGCGCACGGCATCTCGGAACGTGGCGCTGTTGGCGTCCACCTTCAGCTGCCTCGCCTGCTTCTGCACTCGAGTCCTCCAGTAGTTCTTTATCTCGTTGTCTGTTCTCCCCGGTAGATGTTGCGCAATTCTAGACCACCTACATATGCATAAAACTAGCTGCATCAATCTCATCAGAAAACGAGGATGCATCGAGCAAAAGTCGACTTGGATCTGGAAACATCACGGTTGACTCGATCGTGAGAAGAATTAATGACCTGTTTCCCCACTTGGCATGGAGTTCAAGGATCAGCAGCTGTTCTTCAGGGGAGAGATTGCCTCGCTTTACATCAGGCTTCAAGTAATTCAACCACCTAAGCCGACAACTCTTGCCGGTTCTCTTCAAGCCTATGAATCAGCCGGCTATAGATTAGGAACGAATCACAGACGCCTGAAACATGAAGGGAATTAAGACTAGCAGCCTTTTCCTGCAGGCAAGCTGTACCTGAGCACCTAGCAAGGAGATTCCAACGACCTTCGCCGTGGCAAGCAATGTAGTGGATGAGGAGCTTGTCCTCCTCTAGAGTCCAAGGCCCTCTCCGTAGCTCCATGTCCTCGTCACACATTCTTGCCTCCTAAGAAAGAAAGCCTTCTTCTATAGGGAGCCTTGGGGAAGCTACACGGGAGGGAGAGGGCTAAGTTTCCGTGTTATATAGAGCATGCCATGGAGAGCCAAAGCCTACCAATAATGGGATACATTTGAAACAGTAGTACCTTAAAGCTAAACCTCTTATTGGTGCCTCTTTGCTTTATGAATTGTGCCCAATCATACAGGAATATTTGGTGCTGAACTGCTCTTTACTCGGTCTTTGAGGTCTATAGTGGAGAAAGAAAAGGGAATCTATGAGCTCCATGGAGATGGAGTCATTCATTCAATCCTCTGCGGAGGATTTGATGGTGTTCGTGGATTCTTTCTGCGTGAAACGTGTTTGACTGAACAATAGATTCAGTGGTTCATATATAAATATACAGTGCTGAACTGGAACTGCTTAGAGAGAGAAGTAGGGGGAGCTTATTTGCCTAATTCTGCGGTAGTTAGGCTGCTGGAATCTCAAGAACTCCCCTAACATCCTGTTGAGCTTCATGTTTAGGGATGTCTCCCTCATGGAACAAAGAGAAAGAGAGAGAGAGAGAGATTGATTTCCACCATTTCAACAACAGGAAACAAAGGAGGGAGCCACTCCATAATGATGTCCTCCGGCCTTGGAACATCATATTTCACCCCTGACAAATTTTACTCGATCCATACTGCCAAGGATAGATAACAAGTAAGGAGAGAAGAACGTGGTTAATCGGATGCATGATGTGCAGATCTACAATGAAATACAACTCGCTGCTCCGGAGAACTAGTTGAGCAACCACAGTGTTTGGAACTCCGAGTTAAGAAAGGTGACCATCCTATAGGTGTTTTGTTCCATACCGTGGCATATGTTACATAGGTTATCCCTAGCTAACAATTTCTTTGTTTTGCAGGAGCCTATCATTCAGGATTCAGTCATTGTTCTCTACTCATCACAGGCTGGTGAATGATCTGCACTGGAGGCAATTTATGTCCTCTGCTCCAGAAACAACAGCTCTGACATATGTGTTTGTTTCCATGGACCCATTATATTGTCCTTATCTAAAAAATGTAATATATGCAGTCATGCGCATGTCACTACAGAACGATCGTAATCTACGA